CAATCTGTAAGTTGGCGAATCAATCTGACTCACTATTGGACGTAATGGAGCATTCGGTTTGTGTATCTTTGGTAACCCATACAACTTCGGTGGTTTGGCACAGGAAGGTATTATCGAATTAACGTCCAGATTCAATTTTTCGGAGTATTTCTTAATTAGATCGCTAGTTGTTTTAAGCGTATTAGTTGTAGGGTCTGTTTTGACCTTTCGATAAGTAGTTTCATCCGACAAAAGTTGTTGTATTTTAAAATTGTAATCTGACGTATCCATTATGACCATTATAATCCACAATTACCTTTATCTGCGCGGAGAATCGTAAGCTCTGGTCTGTTGCGTAAGTTTTTCAATGCGTTAAATTCATTTTTGGGGAGATTTAATTTCGGCGCTGAACTTCGACGTAACATAGACGAGATGTTTTGACGTATGGCCTCTAAATCTTCATTACCAATATTATTTTTATACAGACAGTCCTCAACACTACAGATAATGTCCTCATACGGTATTTTTCGCGGTGTTATTGCGAAATTAATACCTTTCTCTAAAACTTTTATTGTGGCGTCGTCCAGTGTTTGTTTTGATAAGTTGTAGACAGCGCGTTGTTTATGATTCGTGTCTGTGGTCAACGATTTCGTATGTTGGACATTTGATTTAGTTGTTAATTTATGGTATTTATCAATGTGTTTATTTTTGCATTCATTGTATTTAGTTGTTTCGCGTTTATCTAAAGTTTCCATGCAATTTTTATAATCAAATATCGATAAAACTGTCTTTAATTCACTGGACGAATTGTCTATGGTTTTGTTTATGAAATATAGATCGGTACGTTTTTGCTAAATCACCGTTATTAACAACTTTTTTACTAGCCTGATTTAAGATCTTGGCGCTTCCTCGAATGTCTTTTTTAGTGGATATCTTGACACACGTAGGAATGAGATTATGATCTCTGCATCTCTTCAAGTAATTTAAAGCTGTTATATATCTTGCGCGCTTGGTCTTTAGATCTTCTAATCGGCTTATTTTATTTGCTATTTCCAGTCCGTACTGGTTAACATAATGATTTCTCATATTTACGCGAACATTGCACATGATTAAAACTACTTTTACGGATTTTATCGCGTTTATTTTTACTTTTTATTTTTAATTCCCGACGTTTCGGGCGCTTTCCAGCACCCATGGTCACGGGGGACTGAGATGACTGACGTCCCGATGTCATTGTTAAACCCGGAGTACCTTCAGCTTTTTTAATTATTGTTTATGGTCCGATCTATGCAAAATGAACTGACTATGTCTTGAGGTCTTGCAGTGGTATGCTTGGGTTTAGTTTTAATTTTATTGATTATAGGATCCCAAGCAGGTGGTAGTACCCAGCCTCCTTCTCTATTGAAATTAGGATGTTTTTTAATTTCAATAGCCTCACGTATCATCCTTGGTAGGAATCGGTGTTCTTTCGCGAGGATTTGTGGTCTATCAAATCTGATGTAATGGTTGGGGCCGTCTAGGATATGATCACAAACTGCAGACTTCCCGGAACGTTGATGCTTCACATCAGCTATATGTTCTTTTATGCGGGTCCTAATTGATCTTTTGGTTTTTCCTATATAAGAGAGACCACATTCACAATCAAGCTTGTACACTCCTGCATCTTTTAGAGGAATATGACACTTGACGGATGGTAGGAACTGACTAATCTTCTTCGGCGGCTTGTAGAATGTTCTAATAGAAGCTCGCTTCAAGATATAGCCAATCTTGTCTGTGACACCTCTGACATATGGTAGTACCCAGCCTCCTTCTCTATTGAAATTAGGATGTTTTTTAATTTCAATAGCCTTACGTATCATCCTTGGTAGGAATCTGTGTTATTTCGCGAGGATTTGTAGTCTATCAAATCTGTTGTAATGGTTGGGGCCGTCTAGGATATGATCACAAACGAAATCGTTGACCACAGACACGAATCATATACAACGCGCTGTCTACAACTTATCAAAACAAACACTGGACGACGCCACAATAAAAGCTTTAGAAAAAGGTATTAATTTCACAATAACACCGCGAAAAATACCGTATGAGGACATTATCTGTAGTGTTGAGGACTGTCTGTATAAAAATAATATTGGTAATGAAGATTTAGAGGCCATACGTCAAGACATCTCGTCTATGTTACGTCGAAGTTCAGCGCCGAAATTAAATCTCCCCAAAAATGAATTTAACGCGTTGAAAAACTTACGCAACAGACCAGATCTTACGATTCTCCGCGCAGATAAAGGTAATTCTACGGTTATAATGGATACGTCAGATTACAATTTTAAAATACAACAACTTTTATCGGATGAAACTACTTATCGAAAGGTCGAAACAGACCCTACAACTAATACGCTTAAAACAACTAGCGATCTAATTAAGAAATACTCCGAAAAATTGAATCTGGACGTTAATTCGATAATACCTTCCTGTGCCAAACCACCGAAGTTGTATGCGTTACCAAAGATACACAAACCGAATGCTCCATTACGTCCAATAGTGAGTCAGATTGATTCGCCAACTTACAGATTGGCTCAATACTTAGCTAAAATATTATCACCACTCAGAGGACACACAAGAGCACACACTAAGGATTCATACCATTTTGTCAGTGAGATAAAAGACCTACATCTTACTGACAATGAAACCATGGTCAGTTTTGATGTTCAGTCTCTATTTACATGCCTACCTGTTGAAGACTGCATCTCAATTATAACTAGGAAACTAAAGGAAAATAACATGCCAGCAGAATATGCAGTATTACTAAGACATTGCCTTACATCTGGCTATCTATTGTGGAAGGAAGAGTTTTACAAGCAAGTAGATGGTGTGGCGATGGGCTCACCTGTATCTCCCATTGTCGCCGATATATTCATGGAAGACTTTGAGGAGAAAGCCCTCCTTACTGCACCTGTTACACCAAGGATCTACAAGCGGTACGTAGACGATACTTTCACAATTTTACCATCAGACAAAGTAACTGCATTTTTAGAACATCTTAATTCCATAAACGCTAAAATTCAATTTACTATGGAGTTAGAGGCAAATAATTCCTTACCTTTCCTAGATGTATTAGTCATCCGAAATCCTAATAACACCATTGGTCACACTGTGTATAGGAAAAAGACCCATACAAACCGATATTTAAACGGTGAATCTCACCACCATCCTTCACAGTTAGCTACCGTGGGCAAATCTTTGTTACAGAGAGCACGAGGGATCTGTGACAGCAAACACCTGGTCGCCGAGCTACAGCACGTCAAGCAAGTTCTGTACGACAACAAGCTTCGGGTCCCGCGCCTACGTCACAGTGACCGAGTGAAGCCGGCCACAGTCGAGCGTGTGCCTGCTGTACTACCATATGTCAGAGGTGTCACAGACAAGATTGGCTATATCTTGAAGCGAGCTTCTATTAGAACATTCTACAAGCCGCCGAAGAAGATTAGTCAGTTCCTACCATCCGTCAAGTGTCATATTCCTCTAAAAGATACAGGAGTGTACAAGCTTGATTGTGAATGTGGTCTCTCTTATATAGGAAAAACCAAAAGATCAATTAGGACCCGCATAAAAGAACATATAGCTGATGTGAAGCATCAACGTTCCGGGAAGTCTGCAGTTTGTGATCATATCCTAGACGGCCCCAACCATTACATCAGATTTGATAGACCACAAATCCTCGCGAAAGAACACCGATTCCTACCAAGGATGATACGTGAGGCTATTGAAATTAAAAAACATCCTAATTTCAATAGAGAAGGAGGCTGGGTACTACCACCTGCTTGGGATCCTATAATCAATAAAATTAAAACTAAACCCAAGCATACCACTGCAAGACCTCAAGACATAGTCAGTTCATTTTGCATAGATCGGACCATAAACAATAATTAAAAAAGCTGAAGGTACTCCGGGTTTAACAATGACATCGGGACGTCAGTCATCTCAGTCCCCCGTGACCATGGGTGCTGGAAAGCGCCCGAAACGTCGGGAATTAAAAATAAAAAGTAAAAATAAACGCGATAAAATCCGTAAAAGTAGTTTTAATCATGTGCAATGTTCGCGTAAATATGAGAAATCATTATGATAACTTAAGTTACTTACAAAATGTAATTTATTTTCAACATTCCTATGTTACTATTGGTTGCGCTAACGAATTAAGAAAATATATTAATTCTCGATATGAAAATCGGCAATTTAAAGAACCGTCACTTACCTTACTTTATTTTTACTAATGATTCGTATTCTTTAGTTCATACTAATTTAATTTTAATTTGTGGGTAACGGTGTTGGAAACATAACGTGTGTTATTTATAAATGTTATTTACTTCAGTCATAATTATGTGGTTGTTGGTTTTACAAGAAATAAAGAAAATATATTTTATTCACTTTTCAGCTCTCTATTACTTTTGTATACAGTGCTATCGGAATGTGAAAGTGCTAAGACGCAAAATTTAAAAAGAAAATTCCCAAATGACTTTCGCTTTGGAGCAGCTACAGCTGCCTATCAGATTGAGGGAGGTTGGAATGAAGGAAGTAAGGGTTTTACTAAATAAAACTAATAGACGACATACATGGTCAGTTCAACTGGTCATTCCAACTGATTAGTTCAAACTAAAACTGTTGATATTTTTTAAATATTGGATTTTCGATATATCGATAAATAAACTTATACATAAAACTCCGTTATTGAAATATTTATAATTATCGATGTATCGAAAATCCAATATTTTAAAAAAATATCATCAGTTTTAGTTTGAACTGATCATTTGGAATCATCAGTTGAGGTGACCGTGTGCAGCACGAATTAGTGGCTCGACTGGGGAAAGTGCCACGTTCTTACAGAATACCAGCTTAAAATCAATGCGTAGAGCTGCCGTTTTTCATATCGTGTGTGACGAAAATCAGTCAGTAGATAAAATCGCATCATCATTTATTTGTATATTTAAATTTTTATATGTTATCTGTCGAAGATAGATATATTTGCCATGAGGCCACAGCTTCCAATCACCTTAGTTAATAAGATAATTTTTACAGGTAAAACTGAAAGTATTTGGGGCCATGTAGCGCACACTAAGCCATGTGCCATTGACAACTGCTCAAATGGTGACGTCGCTGCTGACTCGTATCATTTGTATAAAAGAGATGTTGAAATTATGCGCGAACTTGGCCTAGACTACTACAGATTTTCTTTATCATGGCCGCGAATTTTACCCACTGGATTCCCGGATAAGATTAACGAGGCGGGAGTCCAATACTACAACAACTTAATCTATGAAATGCTCAAGTACAACATTGAGCTAGTAGTCACAATCTATCACTGGGATTTGCCACAAAAACTACAGGAGATGGGTGGCTGGACAAATCCTTACATAATATACTGGTATACAGATTACGCGCGAGTTGCTTTCGAATTATTCGGAAAAAAAGTGAAAAATTGGATCACTGTTAATGAACCAGAGCAAATCTGCTATTTTGGATACGGTAATAACCTGCACGCGCCATTACTCAATATTACAGGAGTAGCTGACTACCTATCTGCCAAAAACGTATTGTCAGCTCATGCCAAAGCGTGTCATGTTTACGATGAAGAGTATCGGCCAAATCAAGGAGGTACTATTTTCATTTCAATAAGTGCTCAATACTACGATTATGAATTCAAAGTATATAAAGATGCCGCCGAAGACGCTAATGATTTTACGGTAATTTGTATTTAAATTATGTTTCTGTTATTTTTGTGCACTTTGCTTACGTAGTCTTAAATTTAAACTAAAAATATAATGTTTTCATGAACTTTGTCATCTAAGTGAAATAAACATAGGGTGAACATAATTCTTTTATTTCCTTTATTGTGAATAAGCCAAAAATTGCGTTATGTTTTTCATTAATAAATTAAAATAAACAATTTCGTGTTATTTTAAATAACTTTCGATTATGTTGCAGTGGGCTATATATTCTCATCCAATATTTTCAAAGTATGGTGATTTCCCTTCATCTGTAAAGGAAAGAGTTAAAGCGAAGAGTATTCAACAAGGCTTCCCAAGATCTCGACTACCCGAATTAACTCCTACTGAAATTGAAACCATCAGAGGCAGTTCCGATTATTTTGGATTAAACCATTACTACACGTTCTATGTGTATAGGAACGAATCTGTCAAAGGCTTATATCCATCCCCATCGAAAGACGATGACCTTGAAGTTGCAATATATCAGAAAAAAGAGTGGAAAGGCGGTCAAATAAATGTTAACAAGGTAACTTTCCTATTTTACGAATGTTCTCCAATGTTGACCATAATCGGTCAACAATCATTAAGAAGTTCAATGAAACGTTTGGGACAGTGAAAGTGTTAAAATAACGAACTAAAAAATTGTTACCAAGTATACACTTATGTCACTATATTAACACAAGACAGTATACATCTAATCTTACCATTTCAGTCTATCAAAAATACTCTGCTGAACATAGGCTTCCCCCACAGCTTGCCTCATAGGCGGACATTCGGCGTAGTTACCACGCGTAGCAAGCGGGTTGGCAATTGCTGTTTTTTATTGTATTGAGTTGTTGTGACGAATATGCTGCCGCCCATCTCCTATTTAACTTCCCTCTGACATCTCTTACGACACCCACGAGATGATATGGAGTAGTGGATTTTCTTACGCCGCCACTATACGGCATAAATCTAAAAATCTTTTGTTTGTACACAATTGTGTAATTAGTTCTTATAAGTAAAGTAGACTTCTATACAAGTAAAGTTATAGCCTATACCAGTCCTGGAATCTGGTTTTCAGTCTCCTCTCCATTTCGTGAAAGTTTTAGGGTCACTGAAATTCCTCTGCGTGACTAATCTGTATTACTTCTAGAATAGCATAGAATTTTTTTTCACGTAGCTTATAAGTAATTCTGATTGAAAGTCATTTTTTAATTTTATTGCTACGTCCTGAAAAGAACCAGCAAGAAACCCAGCACAGCTTTTTTAAAGTAATATTATGTAAAAAATACAAACATTTTGGATATTACCATCTTATTCCGAGGGATATTATCTACCAATTTACAATCTTCATATGACGTCATCCAATATTTTTTTTAAATTCTCACACTTGCATTTCCTCATGATGTTTTTCTTAAAAATTTGCGCACGTGATAAATCAGCACTTAAATTGCAATTAACGCTTTCATTTATGCCGTGTGCTCGAAAACGTGTTGTTCGCACAGTATCTGAAATTTACACCGAGAGTTTTGCCTCTAAGCTACCACGGCTTTTTGATTTTTTAGGATGGTTATCCTATTTATGTTTAAAAAAATCATAAATGTTATCATAAAAAAAATATATTTTAATCATATTTAATGTATGATTGAAGTTTTCATTTATCTTTAAAAATACTTTTAATACTTTTTTACTCAGTCAATTTTGATTATATTCCTTCAAGATCGTACCGTCGGGATTCTACAAACTTTTGACAAAAATAAAAAATTATTATAATAATCCACCTGTTATTATCACGGAGAACGGCTTCGCAACAAAAAGGGGATTGGACGACGATGATCGCGTCACTTATATCACATTTTATATTAATGCTATGCTCGATGCCATCGACGACGGATCCGACATTCGATCTTACACGGTTTGGAGCATGATGGACAGTCTCGAATGGCTCGGGGGCTTCAGGTATGTATGGCTTCTAACTGAATTGTCCCAAGTTAATTACTATTTATATACAAATGTGTCGTCATATATTTTAATATAACGTACGTCCCACCACTGGGCATAGGTTTCCTTTCATTTTTGGGAGGGCAATAGATTAGCTTGCCTGCCGTGCTGCTCCTGAGAGTGTTTGCAGACTACGCATGTCCTCGAAATATTTAATTTTTCAGACATTCAGGTTTCTTCGCAATGTTTGCTTTCACAGGTGAACACGTTGTGAATATGCACTTGTAATTTTAACAATTTTATTGGTGTCGACGTGTATCTAACTTGTGTGGGTTACATAGTACAAAATGCGATGAACGCTTACCCCCGCTCACTCAGGGGCTAGGCGCAGACTAACCCCAAATTTGTAGGTATTTACCACAAAATAATAACAGATGGAATCATTACATTAAATGTGACTGTGATAGCAAGTACCATGTGGTAACAGCATAAGAAAATCCATCACCACGTTGCGTCCCATGGTACATCCAAGGGAAAGAAGGATAAGAAGCGACTATGGATCTTATGGCTTCCGGTAGATGGCGGTATTTCATCTCCATTAAGCCAAACGTAAAATTTGCAGACCAGCCACAGCATCGGGGTCAAGCGAGACGTATGGTATTTTTATTGTCAATCCACTAACCGTGACGAGTGTGGAAAATCATTCCCACAATAGGAGAGGTCGGTGTACATCAGAAGATTTCTACAAAAGTTCGAAAATTTCTAAATAACCCAGTCACAACCATCAGTATATTTTTTTAGGACGCATGTGCCAAGTAGTGAGACAAGCATGAGGTGAGCTTTAAATAGCTGTAACTTTTTTTGCAATTTTTTGGTAGTGAGTGCTATGGCCTGTACGAGGTGGACTTCGAGAGCCCCGAGCGCACGCGCACCCGCAACCTTCTGCGTGCGCTCAACCTCGAACATAGAATATTTAAAATTTTCGTATTAAATATTTGTTTCTCTTTATTTTTAACCCACCATATACCAATAATAGCAAAGTACATAATAATGTGCAGATGAAAGTGAAATACGACTATTGCTTAATATATGAACCTAAAATTTTATGAATTACGGTCAACCTTAAATATAATCTCGACCACTGATGGTAAATGACAGTCATACTGCAGCTATTCTATGGTTATATTGCGAATAAATGAGCTCAAGCGGGGAAGGACTACCTTCGGACAGAATAACAGTGTGAAATGTATGGTAAGTGCAGAGAACCGGAGACCCTTTTTTACTGGAAATGAGGCGTTAACTTAGTATTCAGGGGTGACATTGTACCTTCATTTTAATTATTAATCACAAAAGATGTAGATGCCTATGGGAAACAGCATCCACTTACGATCACCGAAACCGGATGCTCGTTTGCCACCCTTAATCTATAAAAAATGAACGCTGCGGTGTAGACACCAACATCCAACCTGAATTACGAATCAAAATGCAGATATATATAGATATTTCGTGGTACATATGAAGCATTTTGTTTCGTGAAGTATAAATTAGTAAATTAAGCTTTTTGATCATTGCTCGCATAACATTACGACTTGAAATAGGTTGCATTTGAAGGAGGATTTCAAAACTTGGAAATGTCTACGGACAATTCAGTTTTACAGAATTGAGAAGGTCTCGATAAAAGCTGCTAATAAAGTGAAAATTCGGGCTTTTAGTTATCTTTAAATCACGACAAATGACGGATTCTATTATGAAGTTAAGTACAATGGAAAGAAAATTCATTTTTAAATATAAAAAGTGTACAATCATAATTGTTTTTTTACATAATTTTATATTTCTACAAACAACTATGACCATAAAACCGTACCTAATTAATCGTAATACCGAGGTACGGTATAACGCGGTATTACGATTAATTAGGTTACTAACAATTCCAGTTTTGAGTATTTGAGTTGTATTTACTTAAAACCACAGAGTACTTACTTTGTGGTTTTGCATTAATGAGAACATTTTGTAAATATACTAGGGATATTTTTTATTGCTAGTTCAGACCTCATAACGAAATTTACTTGGAGTTAAATATTGTATGCATATTCAACGTTATTATTATATTGTATATACGATATTAATATTTTTAAAATAAGCAAAATGAAAATACTGATCTTTGTTCATTTTCAAAACTACTAAGATCGCATTTAGGTGTCATTCTATTAACTATTATATCATTTACTTATATTTATCAGTTTTTAACACACTGCAGAAATGAACATTGCTTTCCCTTTTTGTCCACGCAGATAACATCTAAAATTTCCCTAATCTAATTAAGAAATCATCTTGCTGTTTGATTGCGATGAAAGGGATTCAAATGAAAATCATAAAAAATGGACTATTCAAATAGATTTTAGGATTAATTTTATATATATTTATTACTCATTTAGTCCGTTAGTTTTTAAATAATCTTTGGATGGAGAACTGACGCATCGAAAATCTAAAAGCAGTGAACGGTAATAATACTTATTCTTAAATGTAACCGTAACGTATAGACGTGGTAGAGCCACGCTGCAGTTATATTATGGTTGTAGCACGAATAGGTCGGCTTGATCGGGGAAGCACCACGCTCTCACAGAATAGCAGCATAAAATAGCAGCTTAATACTGCTGTGCTTCGTATGGTGAGCGTAGTGATCCGGAGACCCTTTTTACTGGAAACGAGGCATTGCTTCTTAGTCCTAAATGGTGACAACGCATCTAAGTTTTGATTCTTAATCGAGGATAAATGTAGATGTCTATGAGCCACAGCATCCACTTACCATCAGGTGGACTGTGTGCTCGTTTGTCACCCTTATTCTATAAAAAATAATTCTAGAATAAATCTAGTCACCATCCTGATTCAGCTCAAAATTATTTTTATATTATTTTAAGCCTGCAGTAAAATTACTCTTTAGCGATATTAACATTTTTGAAGTAATTAAAAAAATGACTAACAGAGAAAGTCGCTATATGTACACAGAAGTTCATATTTTTGTCTTAAGTATATGTTCAAATAATAATAAAATCATTTTTATTACCTTTTCACAAAGGTATTAAATTTCACATTATTACTTAAATAATACGGTTGTAGACAAATTTATAGTTGGTAATAAATCGGAACTTCAAAGAATATATTTTATATTTGTGCACCATTTCTTTTCTTCCGCGTAACTGTCGGATACGGAAATGATAACGTAAGTGGCAATATTGATGCAATAAAAGCTTGAATGTGTGGAAAGATACGTTTGAAATTATACGTACCCATATCATAAAAGTAAAGAATCTGTAATAGACATGTCGTAATATTCGACATTATTTTCAATAATTAATAAATTTATTTCCAATAATATCGAATAACGAACATAGTGCATTAAAATATTTATCAATGTTTCATCGTACAAATTTTGGCTAAAAGCTTACGATGCTTTGCTTTGATCCATTATCTATTACAGCCTATAAAAGTCCACTGCTGAACATAGGCCTCCCCATAGATTTTGCCATAGTTGCCACGCCTGCCAAGCGAGTTTTTAAGCGTAGTTTTTTATTATTTAGAGTTATTATCAGGGAAATGCTGCTACTCATCTCCTGTTCCAGTTTCGCTCTGTCGGCTCTTACGACACCCGCGGGATGATATAGGGTAGTGGATATTCTCTCCCCGCCACTACACATATTGCTTTGATACGATATTTTAATGCAAGTTTTGTTTAACAAGCAATAGAGCGAAACTAGGGTCCAAAATCCTTTTCTCAGAAGTTTTCAAGAAGTCGTACAATGACACTGACGCCATAAAGAATGATAAATGCCTCATGTCCCAGTCTGGAATGCTCACTGACATCGAAATCATCTATTGTTAAACTAGTTAGCTTCACATACGTTACAACCAGGTCAAATATACGACGATTCTAGGATCATATTGACAACTACATATTGAAAAAGTCATAATGAAGACTTACTAAAAAGTTCCTTTGAATTTTATCTACGTACATGATGTTGCGATGTGGGAGATCTGGTTAAGATCGACTACGAACCTGCTTGCCTGCCTGGTTCAAGATTAGTAATTAAAACTTATGTTTGCACAAAAACTGTAACATCCTAAATTCAAAAATTTTATGACATTTTGTTGACTTGTAAATATTTTTAAATTAAATACTTTAGTTAAACAAGAAAACCTCAAATATAAAAGTAATTTTCGGATAAGAGTTCTAACTTGATTATAACGTAACAGAAACAGCTCCCAATATTAATTCTGCGTTTGAAGAGGATACGACTAACTAACACACTGTGAGGTTTTTTTTTTGTTTTAAACGCTTGTGTAATGGAAACTTCGACTTAAAGAATGAACCACTCGGAGACACCGAGGCAAATAACGATTCCTTAAAAGTAAGGGTGGAAACCGCTCCTTATCAATTAATCAATATTTTTACGCATTTATTTTTATAACATTAGCTTATCCACAATGATGACTCATTTGCAACAAATTAATAAAATAAAAAACACGAGATATGAGTTCCTCATGAACTAACTAATATTCATAAAGGAACACACGCCGACGCTTGTCTTGTTTTGAGTAGGTACAGAAGTAACGGGATTTTGGACAAAATTGTGACGTTTAATAAAAAGCTGATTCTCTACGATAACGTAAGCAAAGAACTCTATGGTTGAACCCAGGTCATATAACGGAACAATGCCCTAAACCAAATCTCACCCATAGAAAGTTTATGGTAACGTATGGTAGTCACTTCATGATGTAATTCGCTTTAGCTTGTTAGTGATCCTGAGTATCAATAACATTCGATGTATTTTGTGAAGAATTTTAAACAATCCTGAAGAAATTCTCCAAGAACCCTCCGCGAGTCTTCAATCGATTTTTGCCATTATTACTCCATGATAACTTACACACCGTTCATGAAACTATTTAACATTGCAAGATCTGCAGATAAAAACTATACGTTATCCTCCGTACACCGTACTCCGTTTTTGCGGCATTCCATCTTTAGACCTCACGAGTGGACAACGCATGTGTTGCTTCTTAATCGACGGTAGATGTAGATGTCTATAGGCCACACATTCCACTTACCATCAGGTAGATTGTGTGCTCCTTTGGCACCCTTATTCTATATAAAAAATTGTCTTGACAATAAAGTAATGTTCGTTCGTAAGGATTCATATGCCATTCCTAATAATAACGTATTATTGTGACTCATTTATAAGAAATAGACATATGGTATTGTATGGTGCCCGTCTGTCACCCTTATTATATAAAAATAATCGCCATAGCTGCCCCAACCATTTTTTCGTTATTTGGACAATTTTATGGCAGAAAAAAAATAGTTCAGGAAGCGGTACAAAATGCCTTCATAGACTTTTTAGAGGTCAGATCCCCAAAGTTACGTCGCAAAAGCATAAATTCTCTCGAGTATAAAACGGCGATTTCATACTTTAACCCCTAACATTTAGGTTGTTTTATTCAACAGTGACATTACATTATTGCGTAATAAATATTTATAAAGCGATCTGTTACGAAATTCATACCAATGATAACTTAACAGAACCTGCTAATATTTCGATCTGTTAACAATCGACGTTCCGTCTATTTTTAGGGTTCCGTAGTCAACTAGGAACCTTTATAGTTTCGCCATGTCTGTCTGTCCGTCTGTCCGTCCTCGCTTAATCTCTGTGACCGTTAGCACTAGAAAGCTGAAATTTGGTACCAATATGTGTATCAATCACGCCGACAAAGTGGTAAAATAAAAATTGGAAAAAAATGTTTTATTAGGGTAGCCCCCCTACATGTAAAGTGGGAAGTGATTTTTTTTTAATTTCAACCCTAACGTGTGATATATTGTTGGAAAGGTATTTAAAAATGAATAGGGGCTTACTAAAATTATTTTTTGATAATGTCAATAATTTCGGAAATAATCGCTCCAAAATTAAAAAACAATGTGCCCCTCCCCTCTAACTTTTGAACCATAAGTTTAGAAAATATGAAAAAAATCTGTAAAGTAGAACTTTATAAGGACTTTCTAGGAAAATCATTTTGAACTAGGATGGAAACAACAGTACCCACTACCGGGAGCAGTTGCAGGAGCGCGGAGCGCTGCTGGAGCGCGAACATAATGGATACCCACCTTTAAACTCATAAGTGGGAACACTTATTGTGACGGACGGGATACTACGGAACCCTACACTGAGCGTGGCCCGACACGCTCTTGGCCGGTTTTTCTTGGCATATATTAATAAAAATAAACCGGATTCCAAATTCCGATTTTGTTTCTCCTCATTTACATAATTATTCTTAGGCACAAACGCGTCAACATTGTAAAAATTATTTAAACATGTTCTTAATATATTAACTATAAAATATCTGATTATATTATAGACTAGTATTAGTTTAGATATGTTCTGTTCTAATATATGTAAACTAAGATTTCGTCTTTTGAAAATTATCTATACAAAATATTTAACACGCAAGTAAAAAGAAATAAGATGTGTGCGTGTATGTTTGTGCGTGTGCGTGTTATTTATTAAAAGTCTCGTTCAAAAAGAGCAAGGCGCACCGTCGTTTATAGATGGCAGTGGAGTTAAGGTTCGAGTGAAGTCTCTTGGTGTTACAGTACATCACGGATAGTTGCTCTGCTTGCCTGAGAATACACGGGGCAGCCTGAGCACTCACGCTCAGGAAGAATATGATAGCTT